TCGCGGCTTGCTATCATGTCCTTATCGATGACGAACTCACAGCTGGCCAATCGGAACCCGAAGCACGAAAGAGAGACGTTTGAGGCAACCATCGGCCAGCTGGGGGAGTCTCTGGAAAAACTCGTGCAAGGCGAGGAAGCTTCAATCGTGGCGTTCCAGTGGATGTACCACATTCCACCGAGGTTTATAGACCTAGTACATGAGCGACATCCGTTCGCCCTGGTCATCCTGGCTCATTATGCCGTGGTTCTCCATTTTATGAGAAGCCGCTGGTGGATGGGCGAATGGGGTACACGAATCATACAACAAATAGGTCGACTCCTAGACTTTCAATGGCAACAATCCATTAGTTGGGTATTGGATGCTACCGGCTGTTATATTCCACCAACTTGACCGCAGCAAGGATTCTGTTGTCCATGTCACGGTCGCCGTCACTTCCGTCCTAGTTTGGTGTCTTAAGGCACTGCAACACCCCAAATCTACTCCGCAGTCGAAGCCCATGCTTACTGGCAATATCCGACGACAATACCCTGGTAGCGATGAGAGATCAGGGACAAGCTCACATTCGCACCACTCAGAGTCGACACTGGACCTTTGAGGTGTCCTTGGGTCATTCCATAGCATTCTTCCATAAGGAATTGCGCCGAGATATTTCGCACCTAATGTCTTGTGCTAAGGTTGCATCCCCATGATACCTGTGCCCGGAGAACAAGGGGGACCGATGCCGGGCCATTTGTTGTGTACATAGATACCAGCCGATAATGGCTTAATTACATCCTCAACATATTCACGATAATGAGCAGCTACCGGGTCTAGCAAAGTGTATAATTACATTGAAATCGCTTGAGTTATGTGGAAGAAATCCACTCAGACTTTGATTGGTAAATAGTGCAGAAAAAGCAACGAAGTATGTTGATAAGCATCTGGGGTTCTATTGGAGCTTCAACTAGCGCCTCCAGTATGTATTAATGCTGAGATAGTCTCAGGCGATATATAGACAGGAAACGACCGACCGAAACTCCACCATCGCACCAAAGATGAAGAAGCTCGAGTGAATCCATTCCGTGCCAGGATAAACCAATTCAAGAAAGGAAAGCGCTTCTTCATTCGACATTTGATTTTCAGACAAGGGTATTATCCAATTACAAGAAGATATAGAAGTAAAAAAAGATGGAGCAAGAAAAGAAGCGAAGACAACAACCGACCGAGCAGGAAGAGCAAAAGACTGCATCCGAGCAGAATTCAATTTTCAAAACAACCCTGCCCAAACGCAGTTCCCAGTCATTTTGGTGGGATATCAAGCACCGCCAGCAGTACTTTTGATTTCCCCCAAAGATGAGATAGGTTCGTTGGGCGTTCTGGGACCATGCTGTTGACAGCATCAAACCAGGTCCAGACTTCGCACGATGAATCCAAAACCGTGAAAACTTCAGAAACAGCCTTATATAAGGTATCACCGCGAAGATGACGAACCCGAGCGCTTCTCACTAGCATGTTTGACATCCTTCAAACGATCCCTGGATGCGGTCCGAACCCGTTGCAGATTCTCCTCTTCCTGCTCGCGGACCTTCTTTTCTTCCTCGGGAGACGGGACGTACGCATTCGCAGCACCACCTGGAACAACCAACAGTCAGCTCAACCATGCCGTCAATGCGCAGACGGAAGGGAAAGGCAGAACCTACCTCGTCCCGTATGGTGCGGGGCTTCCTCTACCCGCTGCGGCGGCGATTCTACATCCTGCAGCTCGCGCGCGATTTCCGGGCGCTCGGGGTCATATTGGACCATGTTGCCTGAGCCGCCACGACCGGTTGTGAAGGTATCTTGTTTGATTGTCGGGGTGATGAGATCCTTTGCAGTGGTGGGGTTTGCGGTGGAGTAGATGTTTCCTGGTGAGGGGGGTCGATGTTAGCTCGACTGGGAAGAGGAGATGTGCGCTGTACGGCAGACGAGCAGATCTCTTACCTGCGCCTCCACGGCCGTGAGAAACGTTTCGACCGGCCATTGCGATTGATGTTATGAATTTGCGATCGCGCGATTGGGAACGAGCAGCGAGCGAGAGTGATGGGGAGCCCGGCGGAATTTAGCGCAGGCGGTCTGTCCTTGGAGACCGAGGGGAAGCGAGAAGACTTTTTCGTTGTCAAGGGCTTGGATTGACTGCTGGTGGGGAAGAATGGGCTCTTTAACAAAGGAGAAAATTGAAGATTGACAGGCTGATCTTAAAATCGTGGCAAAAGGTAAAAATTTCGCGCAGAGGTCTGGTGATTGCGTTTTTTTGTCGGGATGACCGCAGCCAAGAAAGAATCCTTTCAATCTTGCCCTTTGCCCTTTTGCACTTTTCCCCCTCCATCGGCGGAATTAAGGCATCTACTGGCTTGGCGCCCATTGTGTCCGTTGGCGTCATCTACGCTCCTCCTTGTCAATCGAGCTCTTCTCCTCAACCATTCTATACCTTCTTTACTTCTCTACCTTTCGCATGCTTACGGCCTCTCAGTGAGACTACGAACTATACACCGTGCAAATCCTCTACTACACTTGACTCCAACCCTAGATGGGGTACACGGACGGGAGTCACGGGACAAAGGATCTCGGGTCGCTTTTGTGGCTGGCACCGGCTGCTCTTCGACCCACCGCTGAAATCTCTTTCCTGCGCGTGGTTCTCTCCCCCGCGATTTCTGGTCATACGTAGCCTCATACTCGTGGACCTCCCCACATAGAGTGCCAAAATCCCCGAGCGTTCTCAAGGCAGGAAATGCAGGTCGTAACTAAAATCGGCCCTAAAGCTACATAGCTTGGCAGGGTCGGTATATCGCCTCTGCACAACCACTCCAAAGTCTGGGATAACTCTTTACACGACTCGGGCCCAAATCTTGGTCTTGCACTACCAGGAAAAGTGATGTCAGACTAAAGAGAAGATAGGACACCCTGGGATAGCATACAGTCTGGGATCGCATCGTGCGAGATGCGGCGGCCAATTTAGGTTGTACTATTTGCTAATCTGAGCCACTAACTGCTGCCTATCCATATGTCGTCAACGATGGAGGAAAACGACCTTCTGAGTTCATTTGTAGCCTTCCCCTTGGTGGGGTAAGTCCCAGGAGCAGCAGAGGTCTCTGGCTCATCACACAAAATCTGGGCTGCTCTGACATCTGCTGGCAACAGGAAATCCCCTTTGTCCGGGGCCTGCTGGAGTATTCTGGTGGCAGGCCACGGCGGTTATCTTCCAGATATGCTCGGGAGTACAGCCGCGTCTCGAAATTCTGGAAACAAACAGCAAGGCATGTTCTGTCAGACAGGTTCTCCATCGTTCTCCATTATTGAATTATAATACCACTAGGCCAAAAGAGTGTCCGGACATGGTCCTCATCAGTCTAGGGTCTCATATCCATAGTCATGGTGGTATTATATTTTAACATCCATCCTCCACAGGATAGAGACGGGATAGCGCCTCCCTGTCCCACAAGTACTGGGACCCCTCGACGATTGCTCTCTGGGCTCTCTCCGGCAATATTAAGGCCAATGGCCGAAACTGGCTGACTATCGAGAACGTCCTTGTAGCTGCCCCAACCAACCACGCGTGGTGTGTGATCAGGAGATACGTGGAAGATCCTTTGGATGATCTTTGTGGTGACTAAGGAGAGATCATGGAGAAAATCAGCGGGGAACAGGAGAATTCTTGATGCGACTGGGTCGTATGTGAAGGAAATAGTACCAATCTATCGCTCGCACATATATAGAGTGAGTGATATAGATCGTCATGGATGAGAGCAGACAAGGGTCCTTCAACACACGTACCTTTTGCAAGCTCCCAGCAAAAGAAGTGCTTTTCCTAAGGGCGAATTACTCGTCGATTGATGCCGGTTTATCCCAACGGCTGGCTCGGATGAACCTCTTCTGATCTTCGAGGACGTCGTAACGTAGTCTCAAGTTGCCGAACCGCTTGCAAAACGATGAAGCCACTCACGAGGACCCTCATGCCGACCACAGATGGGAACATTTCACGTAAAATGTGAAGGTCATCCGGAGCCAGAAAGAAAACTTCGGGGATTCAAGGCAGCGAGAGGGTCTGCCTGATATCTGGGCCACATAGTCGTTGTATGTTTCGTTATCCCAACTGGATAAAAGTGAATCTCCCGATCCCCTGCATGGGTGGTCATCGTTTTTGTGGAAACACATCCACAGAGAGCAGGGTGTTGGGGAAAGAGTTGTGAGTATCCGCAGACGAAGATGTTGAAGTATGAATATTAGGTAGTCATCCATTGTTAGAAAATAGAATACAGCTAGTGGTATAATATTTTGATATTCACCTACCTGCCAGCACAATGATCACAGGCTATTCACAGCTGCTCTTTCCTACATCGAGTGACATCGTCTAAGCATCTATCAATCCATTGCCTTACCGCTCCTCTTTACTTGCTGTCTATGTGTATGAGCGCAACGGCTTGTTATCAAGATGTCCTACCGTCTCTCAACAACGCAGGGCGCCTGCGGTTACTACTGTGCTAGTTGAATAGCTTCATCTCTTTGCCAATCTGCAAAATCGACGCCGGTTAATCACGGCCTGTTCCCCTAATGTTTTCTAATCTCTCTGCCAAGAGAAAACGATGCAGGGGAGATATGAACAAGATCCGATAACATTAATTTTTAAGGAGTTCTTTAAACCGGATCTTGAGGAGGAGATCACATCTCCCCACAAGCTGATCTCTCTCGGTTGGGGAGGGGGAGGGGGGAGCGGCGAGCGGGTTGCCCTTGAGAACATTGTTTCTCATGATCACTTGCCCTTCAAGGGTGGTTGGCGGGAGTTCTCAATTCCCAATTGCAACTCTTCAATGCTCTTGCCCAAAGCACGATATCCTTTCAAATCCTCTTGAAGACCTGTTTCATCCACGATGGACTTCGAACGAGCGAGTGTAAAGTTGCTGTCTGTATGGATCCTGGCATCCCGAGAGACGACCTATTTTGGCCCGCCTTCAAGAACAGATGAACTGACGTGCCACAGCCGATTACTCTACTTCACTAGGAAGAATCATCCGAGACCGCAAAGCCTCGACATCCAGGCCTTCCATCAGCTCCGGATATTTATCAATGAACTCCGACGTCAAGCCCCATCCGCTCTCACGGGTAAACACTTCGTAAAACTCCTGACGAATCTGCAGATTATCATCCGCATCACGCTCCAGCATATCCTCACCCCACGGCCAGCGCACTTTGGTGCAACAGCCCAGATAACCCGTGAGTTCAGCGAAGTCGTACTTGGTCCAGTTCCTGATGATATTGACCCTCAGCTGCGGCCAAATTACATTATCCAATGCTGTCGGGTGACCCTGCTGGATCTGCGTCATGACTGGTTGTTGGAAAGGTGCCAGACGCGCAAACGTCGCGGGGTTGGGAGAGACACGCCATTTACTGTAGACATAACTTAGCCAGCCCAGTGCGACGCACTCCGCATCGCGAATTGCTCGCCGTCGAATTGCACAGTGGATCTCGTTGGCCAAGTAGTTGCGCCGAGTCCCGTGGAGAAGGTCTAATGGCGCTGGGACAGGCGGACAAGCAATGACGAGTTCCGGACGAGTGAGCCATGGCGATGTGGCTGGCATCAAGGACGGATCATGCCCGTACTCGTTCATTGGGACCAGACACCAAGCGGGAACAGTGCTAGGCAGAGCATGGACAGCGGAAGAATGAGGTAATTCCGGCAGTTGAATGGCTAGGGGTAAGTTTGGTACAGTAGCTTCAACTCGTTGTACGCCGTTGAGATGACCAAGTCCAGGATCAGCTCCAGCATACTCTAGAGTCAGTCCGGTCGTTCGAGTGAAGGTCTCAGTCTGACCATTAAGATCCGCTATCTCGAAGTCGCCAACTGAATTTGGAGTCGCTGCTAATTCCTTTCCCTGTTGATCACACTGACAGGCAGTCCTTGGATTGATGTCAGGCCCTACATTCTCCAACCGTCGCGGTTGCTGGGATGTCACCGACGAGGCTACTCCAATCTCATCTGCATCCCAAGCAGCAATCATGTTCCGCAATTGGTCCTGTCGAGCTCGCAACAAGTCATTTTTCCCGACGAAGGCTATCGACAGCCGTGAGCAGCTGCTGCATGAATGAAGCTCCATGATGCGTCTCACAAAATTCCACCCGTTCTTCGAGGTATCTGATACGGTTCTCTCGTTTCTTTCGAAGATTTTCTTGGGCTCTCCTGTCACGGAGACGTTTCTTTTCCGAGGAAGTTAATGATGCATTAGGGCGGTTTGATACCATTATGATCGCTTAAAGAGCCTAAGAACATTTTGAGCATTGCTGAGAATAGGTGGGAAGGTCAAAGCACTTTAAGGAGCGTGGTTACAGAGTTATATGGACCTAGATTTATGGGCGCGTGGGGCCGCGAATAAATAATAAAAACAGATAGGTTTATGCATGCATAAGAATTGTGCATGACATTCATGACATTCATTTGACTACCTGCTTTTCGGATCGAGCATTATTTTGTGGCTGTGATTTGAACATAAAATTATGTCTCTACATGAGATTCGTTGAAGTTCAGAACTACTGTCTATTAAGTCTATTCAAGCAAATGAACATCCATCTTCCTGTCGTTCGTTGTCGAGCAACACACGAGTCATATATATATGGAACTAAATCAGGAACTCGTTTTCACCCTATATCTGCCGCTTGCAGTCAATCCGAGAGCCAGCAAGCATTTGTGAATTTCCCTTTAAGCTTTTCTCCCGTCAAAATTGACAGGAAACTTCTCCCGAATAGCCTTGCCATATCTGGTGAAGAAGATTGGGATCGGCACAAAAGCTAGAGCAATGAATCCCAGCAACGAATTTCCCCAGCCCAGGCCGAGACTGTTAAACATACTAGGCCCGGCAAGGGGCAGCAACGCACCCACCAATGATCGTGTAGCAGTCAAGATGGCATTCGCTGAAGCCGCATACGCAGGATAGCAATCAATGATGTACGTCTGGATTGGCATGAACAAGCCCATCATCGAGATGCCAAACGGGCACATGCCGATGATAGGCACGATCCAATGCACATGCTTGGCTGCCGACCATCCGTACCAGAAGAAGCTCACGGGCAAGAAGCAGGAAAAGAAGATCATGGTGGGTAAGCGCATCTCAGGCTCGGACTTGCCTCCGTTCTGTGCTGTCATTTTCATCAAGATTTTGTCGTTTGTGAGAGCAATGACCGCGAGACCGACGAAGAAACCAATGCCGATGCCTAGGTAGGCGAGACCAGAGAGGCCCGTAGTGAACCCGTATTGCATTTGGAAAACTGCGGGTATGGTGGTGAAAAAGAGATATAACAGGGCGTAGGTGAGAGACATGTAGATCGAAAGAAGAAGAACGATGGGCGACTTGAAGAATAGCAGCACAGGCCGCATAAGTCCCAATTTCAGGGTCGATGCCACAGATACGCCTTGGCTCTCAGGTTCGTATGCACTGCGCAAATCTGTACGACCCAGCTCTTTGGCCAGTTTGGCTGTCTTCCACCGTATAAGCACGGGAGCATACGTCTCACGGCTCAGACACTCGATTCCAAATGAGATGACTCCACTTGCAATGAGTAGAATCCAGAAGATCCAGCGCCAGCCGATTTCTTCACCTATGAAACCGCCACAGATAGGCCCGATGACAGGGCCGATCAGCGGACCCAAGCTCCAGATCGATGTTGCCATCCCGCGCTGCTCGACGGGGAACATATCAGCAATGACACCTGCTCCAAGGGTAATGCAGCCGCAACCGCCTACTCCGGACAAAAGTCGAAACACAATGAGAGACTCAATGTTGGGAGCGAGGGCACATCCGATCTGCCAGACGACGAAGAACCAGTTGGCGCAGCTGAGCACTATTCTTCGGCCATAGATCTCGCTCATAGGTGCTATAAGCAGTGGACCGAACTATGACTTTCTCATTAGGCTCCTATTCTGTGTGTTCCTCAGCGACAGAGTAGATCGCACGGATTTACTCACCGTGTAGCCAATCAAAAAGATTGTAATGCTGAAGGAAAGTAACGCCTCATTCGTGACTGCGAGGTCAGCAGCCACATAGCTTGCAGCGGGGGCAAACATGCTCGACGCAAGTGGTGAAATAAGGGTGATAGAGCTCATGAGTGCCAGTAGACCCCACTTTTGGCCCGATGAGAAATTCTGGGGATTTGCAGGGTCATTTTGTCCATCCCATCCGACAATCCCACGAGAGAGATCTGTTTCTGGGAAGCGTTTGGTCTCGATGTTCCGCGAGCTGACAGCTTCTTGAGCAGATGTATGGTCTTCCTGGAGTGATGGTGCGGATTGCTTTATATAGTCGGTTGGAGAGGGGCTTAACGGCCGGTTCTTTTCGAGATCTTCCATACCCATGAAGCAAGGGCCCCAGTAAAGAATAAGGAATGTAGTATACAAAAAAAGCTGCAATCAGAAAGTCGACGCAGATCAAAGGCCAAGAATGAAAAAGGTGGTTATCCAGGATGAGAAAAGTCTTTGCCCAAGACGGATTGACGATGGAAAGGGAAGACGAGAAATAGAAGGAAAAGTCCTAAGAATGACAAGAAAAACAAGACTCATATCACGAGAGTTTAAGGCGATCTGCAATCACCTTATAAGAGGACCTACTCCATGGTAGGAAGTGATCCGAATATCAAGCATAAGTGCATAACTATGACTTGAAACTCTTATGCGTATAACTTGACCCGTTGTGGATGATTACGAGGTAGTAATCAGATGCATGGTCTATTGCGATTCCGTATATTGGCTTAGTATAATCGCGCTTCTACCAGTCACAGCATCATGACATGTGCAAGATCAAGATCTAATCGATGACTTCGAAGCTCTCAGGTTGTTTTTGAGCGAGTTCAAGGGATACATGGGTATTGAGATGAAATGCGGGCTGCTGCCCCATGAGCCATCGGTATGGCCATAATAGTACGGAGCTTGGTAGTTCCGTCAACTTTAAAAATCAGGTAAACGCTGATTCAGTTCCCCACATCAAGATCTCTAATAACCAATGAAACGTATGCACGGGCAGACAGTTGTGGACCACTGATTCATTGCTGGATAGCCATCACCTCAGAAGGCTGAGCGCCCGAGACTCCCTACAGCTGACAATGGCTGGTGTAGTAAAAAGGACTTAATGATCTGTTCCAGATGCTGCACTAATCAAGTCACGATGAGCTCATATGTATTGTCAGGCTAATAGCATCTGGTTGTTTAACACCGTGATCCTTCTACGGTACGGCGTAAACTAATGCATGCATGTTGTGCACATCCTTATATACCTAGGTAGCCTCCAAGGTTGCTCATTGAGAGACTGAATAAGGTAATCGCAGTGCTTAGCTGAGATACCGCAGGAGTTACTTTTATATTTTAGTTTCCTGTGAGACTGCGGCCGAGGATCGCCTTCATAATGATCCCATTGAGATCATATAGAAACGTGGCCTTATCATGATACACAAACCACTTCCCTTAGATGGAAGCCTTCCCATCCAGAAGGGTCATTCATCAAGGATGGTGAGCAAAGGGAATACCCAGTTATGAATTTTGTGTCCATGTCAACATCAGGAGAAACACCCGGCCAAAGCGTACATCGATGTCATCCGATGAACAGTTTCATCTAAATAACAGGGCTTTGACCTTGATGTAATGCTGCACAGGTGAAAGTGATACTGTTTATGGTCTAGCAGCGTGGGTTTCATAACGGAGCTTGGAGATATTCGGAGTAGCTTCCCAAGAGAGTCAGGTGTACGTCAGTCGGCCAGGGATTCCGAGGACAAGGAGAAGAAGGTGACAAGTGTCAACTGTGAACCTGCCTCAACCACTCCGATATCCCGGCTCGAGAAATTTTGGCTTCATTCAAGAAGCATCCGGATCAAACGGCGGCTGATACGCCTTTTCGAAGCTCATACTCCACACGCCGTGCGCGCCTTTGACGGTATAAGGCCCATCCAACCCATATGACTTGCGATTTTCCTTGTACGAAGCTGCACCGACGTGTTGCATTTGCGATGGCGACATGGCCCAACGGTCCAAACCTTCCTGGTCGGCCAAAATCTCGATGGCACTATCCACGGGCTCCGGTCTCGTCCTTTGCATTTTCTCCAGATGGTCGATCAGCAAGGGCGCTTTTTCTCGAGGAAACAGAAGTGCTTGCGAGCAACATCCGTGACTGTTCATGAGATGGACGCCGGGCCGCATGGGCTGCACTGTCACACGGCCTGCCAGGAAATATAGGCCAATAAGTAGGGGAACAAACAGCAGACAGACTACCGCAAGGAATGAGTTCGTCAATATCCCTTGCATATGCCGAGACCGTCGCCTCGCACAGACACCTGTCAGTGCCACGAGTGAGATAACCGCAAGGCTTGAGATAAGATAAGTGGGCCACTCCTCCGTATTCCAACCTAGGAATTTTTCTGTGTAGAAGAGGCGCAGGTACAGCCAGTCCTTGATCTTCCCGTGAGACCTCCAGTGTTTGATTGTCTCCAGGCTTCTCATGGTATGACGGTACCACTCCCTTTGTGCTACCACGTCGTCCTCTAGCAACAAAATCCAAGGCGCCTTCGTGCCCTCGTAACAGGATTTTAGAGAGAGTTGATAATCGATAAGAGATTTGTCCTTTATCATATTCTCCCTCTCCCATCGTTCCATTTTGTCCACATCGGCGCCCGAGTTCTTGTAGGTGAGGATGCGATCGATGACATTCGAAGCCCATGGTTGCTGATAATCTGGATGATCGGAAGCATTGCTGAGCGCAAAGAGCACATGAACCACGATATTTGCGCGCTGCTCCCGCGATAAACCATCGAGTAGCGAGCCAACGGTCGTATCGAGATTCTGCTCTATGGGGCGCTTTACGGTAACAATACCCGCACAAATAGTTGGATCGCGTCCTCCTGAAGTGACACTTTGAAGCGATTGTTTTCGTTGTGCGCTTGACTGGTTGAACCGAGATATGAAGTGCCGCGACTCTAGAATTCTCCTGACGCTGTAATGCGGCCGATAGCCCTCCTCTGGTCGGAAAAAGAAGGAACCAGGATCGCGCGAGGAGTTGAAATGGCAAAAGATAAGGATAAGAGAATAGAAAACCGCGAAATAGACTAGGAGACGCCTCTGATTTTTGTTAAAGAGGAACATCTCGTCACACACATGATGAAAGCAGGGGATGGTTGAAAGAAAGTGACTTGATCTTGGGAACACGAGGAGTCAGACAGGTTTCCACCTTGTGACAGGAGCAAAAGAAATTCGATGGAAGAATACCCTGAGACCCTGAGCCCAACAGGGTAAAGGATCACCAAATATGGAGCAATTCATGGTGCAAGCTGAAAAGCCAAGAGGGGCTAACTTTCCACTGTTTATGCCTGTTTGATTATTATTGTGTGGAGTGCCCGAGCCACGGGCCCAAGTCCTCCACGATGACATTTCGGGACTAGCAGCCAATCTGGTTCAGGGACGGTCAGGGGTTGTTTCACACTGATGCTTTGCCAGTTGACTCGGCTGTTTGTTTGACAATTGTCCAATATCCAGTATCATTATTGTGGCTAGTCTAGTCTTTATAAAAGTACTGCAGAATTCCTTAATAAATGAATCGTTCAGAGCATCTAAGTTGCCTTTCAGATATTGCAGTTACGTATTAATGTCATCAATCATAACCTTATGTCAACTTCACTGGCTGGTTGATATGATGCTCAGAGAAACTGGAAAAAGAATATACTTAACCAGAATGTGTCCCCTTGAGTTGCGACAGAGGCAAGATTGTCTACCGTAAGTACTGCCTTGTAAGGTTGTATGTCATGTACCATGCTATCATTCGATACTTGGGTACCTTGTCCTTAGCAGGCAGCACTTAACATTGGCCCCACGTGGGCTGCTTAGCCATACTCTTACACAAAGGACCAACTCAAGATGCTTGCTATTCTCAAGCCGAACCAAAGTCATATTAGAAAGCATGTCCGTCTCAGCTTGTTGTCTGAAAGGATTCGAATGGGAGGGTACTCCTACGGGGAGAACCGCAAAGCTCGCCAAGAACGACGTCTACATAGTGGGGGACAATCCGGAGATCGCCATCATCATCATCCATGATCTTCTCGGCTGGACCTTTCCAAACGTGCGCTTACTAGCAGATCACTATGCCCGCGAGGCCAACGCAACCGTCTACATCCCCGATTTCTTCGGCGGCGAAGTCTTGCCGTTCGAACCGATTCTCAGAGGCGAGTGGGAGAAGCTCGATGTCCCCGGTTTCGTGGGGAGAAATTCCCGCGAGATACGAGAGACGGAGATCTTCGACTGTGCTAGAGCTCTACGGAAGAAGTACAAGAAAGTGGGCGTTGCGGGCTTCTGCTACGGAGGATGGGCTGCTTTCCGCCTAGGGGCAAAAGAACATCAGCCTCCGCTCGTTGACTGCATCACGGTTGGGCATCCGTCGCTTCTGACAAAAAAGGACATCGACGAGATTGCAGTTCCAGTGCAGATTCTCGCCCCGGAACACGATCCGGTCTACGCTGCCGAGCTCAAGCGATATACATTTGACACGGTTTCCAGACTCGGTGTTCCGTTTGATTATCAGCATTATCCTGGGGTGGAGCATGGCTGTTTGACTCGCGGTGACAGCACCAAGGCCGGCGAGCGTGACGCGATGGCTCGAGGAAAGAACGCTGCTGTCACCTGGTTTACGCAATGGCTGCAACAATCGTGATGCTTACGGTTGCTTATCAACTCGGACCATTGCAAGTCTGATGGCTTCTGCTGGATTTTTTTCTGCCCTTTCCCACCATACTAGATGATGTTAGCAAGAGTTGTCATCGTATTCCTCTCTTTATCTAAGGAAGCATAAGCCATGCCTTCGGTTAATAATGAAAAAGCCATAAGTTGTAAAGTCGTCAAGAGACGATCTGGATCTTGGATCGCCCAGCCGAGACCCGTTTCTCCGCATTCCTTGCGGGGCATATCGCAGCCGGACTACCGAGGCAGCTTGTTCATCCCTTACCTGGGGATAACATCATCAGAATCCCATGTCGAGATTATATCATCCAAACTCACAATTACCGATATGGAATGGGGGGTTTCAGTGCGTATAAAATCGACCATGCAGTTACTTGAGGGAGTCTTCACCGCGCAGCATAATCAATTACTTCCATCGATAATAAACAGCCCCAAATGTATCCCAATCCACCCCCAATTGCCATTCCAACTTCGTATGAAACTCTCCAAACAACCCACATTAAGGTATCACACCACCCGGCTGGCTCCTCGACCGCAACCCCAGTCGTGATCGTCACATTGAACCGCCCCGACAAGCACAATGCCTTTACACAAGTCATGGCTGAGAACCTGGAACGGGTCTTCCGCATGTTCGACCTCGACCAGCGTGTAAAGGCAGTCGTGCTGACCGGAGCGGGAAAGACTTTCTGTGCCGGCGCGGACTTGGAGATTGGGTTTGGCGGCGGGCGGGAACGAGAGAGGACAGCGGATCATCGGGATAGGTTAGTTCTGCGCCGTTGAAACGCGAGGTTCAAAAGTTGATCTGCACCATTAGTGGCGGCCGAGTCGCTCTGGCGATCCACAGATGTCGGAAGCCTACGATTGCTGCTATGCAGGGTTCTGCTGTTGGAGTCGGCATGACGATGACTCTTCCGGCTGCGATAAGGTAGCGCATTTATTTAGGGTCTTTCAAGCAGTGAGAACTAAAGTGAAGGCAGGGTTGCCCATGAATCGAGTAAATACGGCTTCGTCTTTGCCCGAAGAGGAATCACCATGGAGTCTTGCTCGTCGTACTTTCTCCCTCGTCTGATCGGGTACTCTCGGGCGATGTTCCTCGTCTCAACAGGGGGTGTCTACCCGCCCAACTCAAAGCATTTTGATGGGTTGTTTGCGGAGACTCTACCAGAGCGAACCCAGGTCCTTCCACGAGCTCTGCAGTTGGCTGCCGAAATCGCCGAGAACATCAGCCCAATGGCTTCTGCGCTGAATCGAGCATTAATGTGGCGCGGACCTGAGTCCCCCGAAGAAGCGCATTTGCTCGAGTCGGGGATCTTGTACCATATGTTTGGGGCTAAGTAAGTAGCAGCCGTCGTATTTGAATCTCCATACTCATCGTTGGACAGGGACCAGAGAGAAGGCGTTTCGGCCTTTTTCGAGAAGCGCAAGCCAAACTTCAAGGCAACTTTCGAGCACGATGGGCCTGCGAACTACCCGTGGTGGTCAGAGGCGAGCATCGACCCACCAGCAAAAGCTGCCAAGGAGTCATCTAAGTTGTGAACAGATGCCGCCTGCTGGTCGTAATTAATCTGTGTCTCGTGAGCAGACCTTATATTGATCAAGGTCAATGTTCTTTTAGGAAGCAGATATGAATTTAAATTGCGTATATTTTACAGGACAGAGATGAAATGCTCTTGCCGATATGTAGCCTCTGTAGAGGAAGCAGATCAACGTGGAAGAGAAACTCATGCCGATCGCTCAAAGACTGATGTAGACAACTCCACGCAAAGCTAACGGAGCTTAGATGAGGATTGAAGCACATCGAGAGACGGGAATCCAATGGAATTGCCATATCGAAGAAAGGGACATGCTAGAGTTGAATTTATAAAATTAGATGATGAAACTGCGTCTCTTGCGGTTGTAGGCCCTCTGATCCTTCAACCACTGCCGGTAACCTTGAACGCTTCCAATCTTCTCACCATAGTAATCTGGCACAGGGTTGGCAATCGAGTTAGACGAGGGATCGACACGGAACCGCTTGATTCTGTTATAAAACTCCTTCTCTCTCTGTCCATCTGTTAGCACTGAGCAAAACCGGCAAGGGTCAAATAAAACATATCACATCAAGAACTCACCATTAAGAAAGCCGGCTTATATTTGCGATAGACCAGCCTCCAGATGGCATTGCCCAAAAAGGGACCCGCGAGCCAACCCACTGCACCGCAGGCAGCGGTCGCCAATCCCAGGACGACGAAGGGATCCAAGCCCATCACCTGTGCCCCGAGCGACTCGAGATCCTGTTCGGAAAGAACCTGTACTCCGATAATTGTACTGGCCATCGAGGCGATTATCGACGAGGCGAGGGTGTATCTACGTCGAGATGCGCGGAGTTTGAAGAAGGAATTCCAATCGAGTTTGGAGGCTTCGGCGCGGGATGCGTTTTCGGCGGTCGAGTTAAGGCGAAAAGCAGTATTGCGGAGAATGGGAGAGAGACACATGGCTTTTGTCTGAGGACGAGACGATGGCTTGAAGGGGATGCGTGTGGTTGATGTGCTGGCCGGCCTTGCCTGTGTTCTGAGCGACATCTTCTGGCAGCATTGAAATAACGGCGTGGCGCTGGGCAGAGGGGAAGGAGAGGCCAGGGCAAACCGGCCACCGAGGGCGACCGTACGCAATGTGCCGTTCATCGAGGTGAGGTGCATCTTAAGATTTGTGGATGTATGGAGTGTTGTGGTCGCAGAACACTACTTGATGGTTGAAGAGGTGCAGCGAACAGGCGGAAGAAGCTATGCCTGGATTATGTAAGCAGGACGGAGCACATAGCCTTTTTCGACGGTGAGGTCACTGGTGGATCGTCGGTTCAGACCCTTAAGGTTTAGTTACTGCAAAAGGAGAATAGAAAATACTAGAAAAATGGCCATGTTTTTCCCGAGAGAATACATGATTACTAGGATGTTAGATCGGATCGTACGGCGTATATTCCACTCACAAAATACACCTATAACTTCTCTCGCAACCGCATCCAGCATTCCCTAATTGCTCAATTCTTATCGAAGTGTCTTGTACCACATATGCTCTAGTGATCAACGTCTCCGCGATGAGTAGGCGTCTTTAATTGGGAGGCTTCACGAGCTATATCCTAGAACTACTTGTTGGCACTCCCATTTGTCGGATGGCATCATTCATATATTACTGAACCTCTTCTAATGATATAATCTAAGTGATTCAAACGTCTACCTAGACCTGTATATGCGCGCTTGGGTGGAGCGATCTTTACAAAGCTCCCCAGAGAAGAAACACTTGATATACAGAATATTCAAGGGGCACCTAGCCGTCTATTCATGCCGTCGTATACTGACCCAGAAACCACGCCCAGATAGCCTTCTGGCGATTAGAGACCGCCATTCTGCTTCAGAGCACCAGGACGAGATCGGGGTTTTGAAGCTGTCCCAAAGCCATTGACACGTCCGTAGAGCCATTGCAGGGTTGCGGTGCTCAGAGCCATGACAATGGCGCTCATCACAAAAAGACCCACGCGGCCTTCGAAAGGCACCTGCTCAAAGATTGGGTACGGGTACCTGGTCGTTGTTAGTAACCCACTACTCACGACTGAGGTAAGTATGTAACGCACCATCCGTTGTACTTATAGCATTGTTCGATCCAGATCCAGTAACCAAACGCGATTGTGCTTGATAGACCAAGGGCCGGTAAGATACTGATTGTCCATGGAGGGGAAAGAAGTAGGAGATCGATCAATAACACAATGGCTGGGACGGCGTGAAAACCAATATCTGCAGAACGATATGATATTAGCTCAAGGATCCGTATAAACAAGAGACCAGCTTTAGGACTTGCCAGCGTGCATTGGAATATAGGCCCAGTCCGGTACCACCAAGCGCTCGTCGATCTTATAGTCTGCGTCAGGAGCGGAAATGTGGGTATAAGGGTGCTCGACTACCCACCATGCGAAGACTCCAGTATAGAACACTAATAAGCACCTCCATCGGAGCGCTACAAATCGACAAGAGATTCTTAACGAGAAATAGCCGGGCGGACAGGGTCAGATCCGCCAACAGCGCGAAAGCAAAAGTGAGAGTCGACAAGGCAAGACCGATAACGGTTAGATACTGAAAATGCCAACCATACGCTTCGTTACTGCCGAGCATTCAAGGTATTAATATGCGGGAATTCCGAGCCCGTGGCATTGGAAAAGCTTACGCGCGATTTGGATTCTCGTGCATACTGTGAGGTATTAAGTCAGTCCAATAACCACACCAGATTCAGTTCCCTATCATCATGATAAAGATATATAAAGAAACCCCAGATCACCCACAATTTGAATGAGCCGATAAAGCTGGCTAAACCGATTAACTTGAGCAAACGTCAGCCATGGAACAAACGCCCAAGGGAACAACATCCAAACAGGCACAAGCTCACGTGGACCAGGGCAGAGAACCCCCGGGAAGGGCTAGACATCCGTTGGACAGGATGTTTCGCAACCAGGGAGGAGGCCATGGTTAAGGAAAATACGTTTCAGGATCGAATTCTAGAAAACTGAAGATGACTACTTTAGGTTAAAGATACGGTACTCGTTTTGCTGAAAGTCAGCAGAACAGACCAGATCAACCTGCGTCATCGGACCCCTTGTCGCCAGGCATCCAACCAGCACCGCCGCTAACTGGATTGACCACTAGCCATAGGTGCCCGGAGATGCTGGCTAATAACATAACTGGGTTATCATTTGCTCTGGTTCAGCTTAGCAGTTAACAGTCTAGTTCAGCCATTATCAGCTCCAGTTATCGTCTTCTCCACATTTGAGAGTCAGAAAGCGGGACACGATTGATCGAAAGTGCCGATAACAGAAGTGACCAACGAGCAATGGTCAAGCGGATTGATTATTTTGGGTTTATCTGTGATTCTGCATCTTTATCTGCCGTTCAGTATTACCCACTGGCCCAGCTTCTCCGCTTTTCCTCGTGGTCTTTCGGTTTCGTCTCTTCTCTTTGTTCTCTCCTTCCAGCAATCTTCTCCTCAGCGTTGCCAACTGGTGCTCTCGCTACCCACTTCACGCCTTGTCAAGCTCGTCTGACTGTGGTATAAACAAGCGTTAGTCCGTCTATCCAATTCCAAGGCTCGATGAGTACGAACACCAGGTGCGGGTGTCTTATAGATTATCGCTACCTATCCAGCTGGACAAAAAGATCCCCGCGACGCAAAAAGTCACCGATTGTCATTCTTCAGGTGTCTTGAGGTCCTATCGTGTCCGTATGGCGGCCATACTTTGCAGAGTACGAGCTATCGATTCATCCAGTCGCTACTGCTATTTTTCGTCGGATCTTTGCACTCAGCCGAATCACTCAAGTCGCACTTGAAGTGCAATGCCTCGTCCTAGAAGGCCCGGTGCACCTGAGCCAAAACGAAGATCCCGGAAGGGTTGTTGGTAAGGAGTCTCAGTCTCACCCATTTTTTGTTTTGTCACTTAATGAACAAGTATCTAGGCCGTGTAAAGCGCGGAAAGTCAAATGGTATGTTTCTATTTCCTGCTACTTTGCCTCTACTCCACATCATCAGAATTCTCTATCTGACAATGACTTTAGTGACGAAGAGAAGCCGTCTTGTCTCAACTGCCGGCGTCAGAATGAGAATTGTGACTATAGTATCAGGCTGAACTGGGAGGGTAGAACAAGGCGGAAATCCTCCGTTGGCTCCCCAAGTTCTCAGTCTAGTGGTCACTCTGCTCATCTCCTCTCTTTCGCCGTGATGCCTTCGGATTTCGCACTTGTGGATACCCTTGGATCAGGTCAAGGAGATGGCAGTCCACAGGAGTTGACTCCACAAAACACACTTTGGGCTACCGCTTGTGGATCATCTCTGGTAGCCGAGACATCGTCCTCTAGGGAGGTTCAGAGTGGCATTGGAATTCTGAGCTCTCCTGCTTATTCCGGTCATTTGGGCAATAGCTTCCCCTATATGAGTGATATTAGAACTTCAGTAGGAATAACGTCATCACAAATGAACGATACGATCATCTCACGGCCCGATACATCGCCGCAACCGATGACAATGCCACAGGAGGCGCTTTCGTCCTTCACTTCCTCAACCCTTCACCCTTCTGGAGACGTTGCCTACTCGGATACAAGCTCGAGTATCGGGACTCTTGCTACCCTAAGCTTCTCTCAGCCCTCCATTCCATCACCGCTCTCGTTCATACGACAATCCGCCATGGAGTCCCATCCGTTCATGCGTCCTTCGTTAGTGCATCCGCGTCAGACGGCGAACCGAGCAGAGCGAAATTCTGTCTCAAGTGAATCGCGTAGTGATTTTCACTTTGACACCGATGACGACCAGCTGGCAGGAGGACTTTCTCCGCGCCACCGATACTCATTCGCACATTCAGATGTTGTCGGTCTAGATTCTTCTAGTGCAGAACGAATCGAGACGCCCATAAAAACTCCTGGCTCCGGTCCTACGGAGACTTATCTTACCAAGATCATGAATGGCCCTATTGCCTCTGAAGACTACACGTACAGCTTGCGACGTGATGCTGAAGGCAGTTGTCAGCGAGATATATACCAGCCCTTCGAGCGTTCATCCTCGGAACAGAAGTGGTATGCCTACTTGACCAGTGTGACTGATAATTACGGCCTCGACCATGGCCGTCCCGACTTGGATTTGAACCAAATGGATGATCATTCGGCTATCGACATTAATTACGCTTTGGACCTGATCAATCCAGAGCACCAGACCCGAACTACATTCGAAGCAGCATGTCCTGACCATGGACTCGGAAATAATGTTGGACGCGGGTATTATGCATCGCCTGTCCCCATCAACATTCCTCGGTACCTGTCGCCATTGCCTTCGACCTTGGTAGAAACACCCATCAATCTGATGTACTTTCACCATTTTCTCAACCATACAGCCAAAATGCTGGTTGCACATGATTGTGGGGACAACCCGTTCATAACGGTTTTACCGTCAAGTACGCTGCTTTCAACCCCATTATTGGTGATATGGCTGACAGTAGATAGTGGCAATTGGGGATTCCAATATCTTGAACCTGATGCTAGCCTATTCCGCCAGCCACCGAGCCAGGTACTTGAACCACCCGGAACCTGCTAACAGGATAGCACACTGGGTCAGCAATGTCTTTCCAACCTTGCGCATAGCACTCGAAGACCCGGACCAGAACATAACGGACAATCATCTTGCTGCCGCCATTATGCTCTTGTCTTTGAAAATCATTTCGCCAAGCACGTTTGAAGTACCAATTCCGTGGCAAAGCCACCTGAAGCTCGCTCGCGATCTTTACCTTGCACACGGAGTGCAGATGGCGTATCCTGGGAATCGAGTCGGGTCTTTTCTTTCACGCTGGCTGGAATATATTGATATCATGGGTTCTCTTTCCTGCCGAGACAATGAGCCTCCTCTGTTTCTGTATCAGTCGATTGTTAGTGCATGCTCTACCCCTCCGGCAAATGACGATTTCTTGATCGACTGCTTCACCGGATATACAGCAAAGACTGCATTGTTGCTGTCACGCTTGGCCAAACTTCTTCACCAATGCGAGAGAACCCGCATTGGTAGTTTGATTGGCGTTGAGCCTGACCAAAGGCCCTCGCCGGATATCGTTGTTGAAGCCGAATCATTGCTTGCGGATTTTCAGGTAGCAGATAATATGGCACGGATCAACAGCCGACATCACCAGGAACCTGTGTCTGCGGACATGTCGGCGATTGATCGATCATTCCGATATGCTGGGCTGGTTCACCTTCATCGTCGCGTGCTCTGCAATCCATCAGCATCCGCTCCTGTATTAGAGGCTCTGGATGGGTTACTTGAAGCACTGGGGCAACTTGAACCTGGTGCATCGGCCGAAGTCGGAGCATTGTTTCCACTTTTTACCGCTGGTTGTGAAACCCGAGATCTACAACAACAGGCTGATATAATGGAGCGAGTCAAGAGCCTGGAGAAAACAGGCTTGAAGCAGGTACGCGATCGACGAATTTCCGATTAGCGCAATGACTAACACTTTTGTTGCAGATCCAAAATGCTCGTACGCTCATGCAACGTTGCTGGGATGAAGACTTGCCGTGGAGTTCTCTGGCGCAGGGGGAATTCTTGGGATAGCCCGAGGTCAATTTCACGAATGTGAAGGAGTCTAGGAACAATAACTGAGACAGCTATGAGTAGATATTTCTTGGTGAACCGAGCTAGTCATCGAGAATAACCTGCAAACATCATACCAGCATGAGATGTTGGGTTAGTGCGAAAGGGTCATGTCCTCCCGGCCCCAGGACTTGTAGCAAAAGGCAGCATTCTATGCAGCCTTGAGACGATCTCTGGGTAATCCTCGTCATCCTCCGCTGTAATTAGGCCATGTCGGACGAAGAAGTCCACCATGGCACTCGCACTCGCGGGCTTGAACCTCCCCTCTGCCATCGCATCCAGCACCTCTGGCACATCCATTAGATGAAACGCGCACACATCATCCTCATCCACCGGCTTGAGAACTACCTCGGGGCCAACCTCAAGATCATAAACATACAGCAAACCAGGATTCATTAGTCCTGGCTCCCCGCCCGCTCGGTCATCACTGATATTGAACCACGTCACCGTGCCGGCAGCATGCGCCTTCCAAACCAAGCTCTCCTCCATCCCAGCCTCCTCCTCCGCCTCCCGAATCAAACACTCCATCGGCATCTCACCCGCCGCAACACCCCCCGCGACAGCATTATCCAGCATCCCCGGATACGTCGACTTCTTCGGATTCCGCTGCGGCACCCAGATCTTCAATCCGGATTTGGTCCTCGTGTACACAGTCATGTGCACACCGCGCCCGACAATCCCGAACAGGGATATAGCCGAGCGCTCGATACTTACGGGGAACCGGGCTCCGATGATGGGAAACCGCTCATCGCGTCGCTTGCCCAGCCTTGGGAAGACGCCTCTTGCCCTGGCGAGCGCGATAAGGGCATCGAGGCTGCGCTTGCAGCGCTCTGTCCAGGTTTCTTGCTCGCACGCATGGTCCTGTGGGAGGAGATGGATTTCCTTGTGCGGGGCGGGAAGCACATGGAAATCTTCTGTCCAGGGCATGCGTTCAACGACAGACTCCACGAGATAGCCGTGTGGTCTGGGGTCGTTGGGGAGGAAGAATTTCCATAGTTTGGAGAGCTGTTGTTCGTAAGCGGCTGTTTCGCCGGGTTGGTTGTAGGGGAAGCTGAGGTTGTTAGTGGTAATTCGATGATATAGGATATGGAACCTTACTTGTCGCAGTCTTTGACTATTTCTAGTATGGTTTTCTTCATTGCGGCTGGTTTATTATGGCTAGTGGAAGTGTTGACTTGTGATGACATTTTTTGAGGCCCCACTATCAAAAGATATTTTTGGGTTCCGCGGCCCAACGCAAGCGGTAGATCTATCCGATCTACTCTTCAATGAGAGACGCTTCTCAACCACGCTGCAACTGGATCATGACCAATTCTGGGAATCATGTTGTTTCATCCGAGTTGGCATAGAATACATAGCCAGGAAACAGCGAGACATTGTCTGACATCGGCCCAGAATGTTTTAAACGTGACAAGTTTCGAAGAGGATGAGCTATTTCTGCCTGTCAGACATTGCGTATATCAGAACATTCTTAGTGAGACAATGTGCAGACTTCCAGATCCGAGCCATACCATAGATGCTTAAGCCTGATAGATGAAGACTTCAGTCCTTGTGTTACTGAATGGCAATGGATTAGAGTCCATCACTCGTGCCTTTTGTCTTCCTTGTTCTGTTGACACCATCTCTCCGATGCTGAAGGTGATCCCTGATACCTGCTGGAAACTCTCACCATTGAAGTATCTTGGTTTGATTATGTCAAGGTATTGCACCGAGCAATCATGAACCACCAACATTGTGATTGCTTCCTGAATATCTAATGGCACTATAGCCCAATCAGCTGATCTCCAGCTCAATCATCAGTATAAGTTGCTAGGCATCAAGCTGTTCATACTCTTCTCTTCTCTCATCCTCAACGCTCTCTTGCGCATTACAGAGACGTTTTGCGCCTTGGTTTCGCGCAAGTACTTCCACACGCTTCACATATTGATACCATATACCCAGTAGACCTCCTAAGCAAGCGTCAGTCAAATCTAGATCACCAAGACACTGTCTATATTAACAACTCACTAGGACATTCTCAACATAGTGGTCTCAACGGAGCGTGTCTTTGTTGCTGATAATTCCTTTGCTTTGCTTTTGAAAGGTCTCATCAGACACTCACTCACTCTTTGTTCCGCTCATACTAACATCAGTCTCGCATATAGGAGCTTTCGGAATTGATGCACATTCTGCAACATTGTGGACAAAGGCCTTCGTAGAAGCCTTCACAAGTTTCTCACATATAATCGCAATCTATTCTCAACTAGAATTCACTTAGAAGTGAGAAGTGAGCATTCCGGAGAAGTCTACTCTATATTCTGTTTTCATATCCGCTGCAGATTCCCACTTAATCCTTTCCCAAAATGGAAGGATGTGTTCCCCTCACCACCGGTCCCATCTTCTCTCTTATAGTGCTTTTTTCTATCCTGCTTGGTCTTTTCATTCTATTTCGTCGTCTTGATGCCGTAATTCTGGCCATGGCTCAAGCCGCTCAACCTTCAGAAACCTTTTGCTCCATGGCGAACAAGGAAACTCAGCATGAAGAAAACAACACCAACACAGAGGACAATGATAACACTACCTCTGGAAATACCTCCCCCAAAAACTTCTCCCTTGGACCTGTTTATTCCGAAAAGACCGCAGTAGTTGTACTCAATCCACGAAAATGCTCCAACATCCTGGACAGCCATTTGGACGATATTAGAGTCCCGACACTGCAGCCTAAGACGCCTCAGAAACGGATCCATCTCGCTGTCACCGATCCGAACCAGTTGAGAACGGTACCGCTGCAACGTACGGACTCTGATGTCCTGCTTGATGCTGGGATAGAGGATCTGATGATTCCGGTGTTGGAGCCTGAACGGGTGAGTGATCTTAATGTAATAGCTGGTTGTGCTACTTCTGACAACTCGCTTCCCAGAAACCTCTGATCGTTGCTCGTGTACGCAAGAATTCCGACGTCCCGAAGCCTTACCGATCAGGGATGGACACCGTTCCCTGGGATGGCAATATCCGCTGGGCCACAAAGGGATGTAGTATATTTGAGAATCAACAAGAAGAGGCCGATGCCTTCTCTTATCGTCCGAACCTCCTTTCTCGGCAGCCGGTCTCGGATCTCTGGATTTTCCAGTACGGGCTCCGATATATTCCTGCTGGACGGGAGTCCAGTGTCTTTCGCACTGTCCGGATTGAGAAGCTCGCGTCAAAGGTGACTCTGAGCCAGGTACTGCCATCTGTTCCGGGTGAGATCTACTCGGCTTCTCTCTGCAACACAAGCCCTATCACTGGATATAACACTGCTATCATTGTGTTTGTGCTCGAGAAGGATGCGCTAGACTTTGTTCGGAAATCGAAGGACGGACTACCTTTGGGCTTCTGCGTGGCCAACGTTGCTCTCGTCCACACTCCGACTTACCCCATGACGTCCCAGATGAGCCAGCACATTTTTCATCAGGGCTACACCCGGTGCCTGGTCATCAGCGACCTTCGGAGGTCGTTGAGGGAGGAGATTTACCGCGTACTGAAGCGGTCTGCCCACTATAACTATATTGAAAGCGTGGAGGAAGGACAGGTGGTGGGTGATATCTATGTCCGTTTCTATTCAATCAAGATGGCCGCAGCCGCGTATGATCTCTTTCAAGGCCATCCGAGCTTCGAAAGATGCAGCATTAAGTTTCTTAGAAAGGCGGCAGAATGAAGGCTAGTCATCATGGAGATGGAAATCAGGTTGGCGTGGGTCAGGCGTTGGTTTTTTCTAAACAGGTTCTGGAAACATCTCTCGTGTTTGTTCATTATTCATCATCATGCACTGATAGCGGATCCTCTCATGATCTCCTCTTTTGTGTTGGGCTGTGGCAAGCCATGAGCCAACGACGTCTAGCCAGTTTCAAAGAATTTGATTGGACAAGTGGCCGATACGAGCCAGCATTGGTTGCACTTCGTATTAGTAGCCAAAGCGCGATGCATAAGCATGGGCATGCTTTCCTTCGGACTTAAGGAAAAGAATTGCATATTCCTACGGTTTGTGTCCAACCTCGTGATCGTCAAGCACTAGCGCACTAATAACAGCTTTAGAGTTTTGACTTTCTGCACTTTCTGCCAAACATCCTTTGGCCATCCGTGTTTTTAAGTTGTTAGTAAATAAGATTCTGTGACGATGCTTTTTATATTTGCCCTAAGTTTGTAGCCATTCAGGGTATCAATTCCATATTCAAACAACACAAACGTGTATGTTGTGACGGAAGTGGTCCAGTCAAGCCTTGAGCAAGTCAGCAAAGCTGGAGATGCCCCGCGGGGTGGCCATCCCGCGCTAAGGCTCCCGCTTCCGGAAAGTAGAGATAGGGGCCGGACTTGACATTCCCTCTGGTACGAGAGGTAGTCTATGCTTCTTGCTTATCAATTAGTCTAGTAGACTAATTTTTGGAGTCAAGAAGGGGTATCCCCAATTGATCGTCCAGGCCGGTCATTGAGACGAGACTTGTTGGGGAATTTGTGGAAACGATGGTATCTAGCCATCCATCGCACCTCGTCCAGAACCCCTCAGTGATGATGTTGTTAAAATATAATACCACTATGACTATGGATATGAGACCCTAGACTGATGAGGACCATGTTCTGACACCCTTTTGGCCTAGTGGTATTATAATTCAATAGATGATGATCCTTCATCCTTCTCATGTCGTCTCTACTAGGGAGGAGGAACCTTGCTTATTCCGCAGCGGTATATTAGAGCTACTAAAGATCAGCGGTAGTGGGCGACACACACAATTCTTTTCTTTCATCCCCTTGCCTTCCCCTCATATCTTGTCCGGTCTTCCTTCCCTGTCATTAGTGCTTGTCTCCCGTCCTTATTCCTTCTACTTTACTAAATACATACTCATACTGCCGTAACTAAGCGGCAAGTTATCATCATGTCACAACCGACGGATGAAAAAGCATCAGTCGACCAGGTACCCCGAGCATCCGACGCGGAGAAGGGTTCTGGGTCGCATGAATTCGCCCCAAAATCAAAGCTCGAACTCTTCGAAGATCCCGATGAAGGGCTCAGTCCGGAGGAACGAGCTAAGATAGTACGATGACTTTAATATTTGAGCAAGTACCTTTGGCTCACCGACCCTAGGATCGCGCGCTCGTTCGCAAGCTCGACATCAGACTGATCCCATGGCTTAGCTTGTTGTATTTGATTTCATTTTTAGACCGGTATGTCCTTCTCACTTGAATGCGACGAGCTATATTAATTCTCTAAAGTACAAATATCGGCAACGCAAAGCTAGCGGGCCTGCAGAAAGATCTCCGTATGACCAATGACCAATACAACGATAGCTTGACCATTTTCTTCATCTCATACTCGATCTTCGAGCCGGTCACCAATGTCCTGCTCAAGAGATGGCGACCGAGCAGGTTTATACCTGCTATAATGTTCGCATGGGTATGTGCTACTTTGTACTTACAGCAAGTTCGAGCTAATGGCATCTAGGGCATATGTATGACGTTGATGGGTGTTGTGCATAACTGGTCTGGATTGATGGCGGTGCGTGCCTTCCTACAACCCTTTCGTTGATCAGTTCCTACGTCTATTGTCGTGCGATATGATCTTAACAATCAACAGGTCCGATGGTTTCTCGGACTCACCGAAGCCGGTCTCTTCCCCGGGGTCGGCTACTTCCTCTCCTGCTGGTACAAGCGAACAGAATTCGGTGTACGCATGGCCATCTTTTTCTCTGCGGCTGCGCTCGCTGGCTCTTTCGGAGGTCTTCTCGCTGCTGCCATTGCTCATATGGATGGAATTGGCGGCAGGCCAGGCTGGTCGTGGATTTTCATCCTTGAGGGTCTGGCTACCATCATCATTGGCGTCTTGTCGTTCTGGATGGTCCATGACTTCCCCGACGAGGCCACGTTTCTGTCCGAGGTGGACCGCAAGCGTGTTCTGCGCCGCCTTGCGGAGGACCAGCAGTCTAGCGCGGAGCATGAGCAGTTTAAGATGACCTATTTCTGGGCTAGTTTGAAAGATTGGAAGACCTATACCAGCGCTATCATTTACATGGGAGCGGATGGGTCCTTGTATGCATTCTCGCTTTTCGTACCGACCATCATCAACCAGCTGGTGAGTTGCTTTAGGACAATTCGTGGTTCTATATGCTAACAGAATCAAGGGTATGTTGCAGTACATCTTCATCGAGTGAATTGACTGACAAGAAAAGGGTACACTTCCATCAAGGCCCAGCTGCTTAGTGTTCCACCATACGCAGCAGCGGCCATTGTGACTGTTGCAGTAGGTTTCATCGCTGATCGCACGCGCCAACGTGGTATTTGCAACATTTTCGTCTCTCTCGTCGGCATTACCGGTTTCGCAATGCTCCTCGGCTGCAAAACAGCCGGAGCACGGTATGCGGGAACATTCCTTGGAGCCATGGGCATTTATCCTGCCATTGCGAATACCATCTCCTGGGCCAGCAACAACACTGAAGGTGAGCGTCTCCAGGCCCATGAATATTGCAATATTTGACAGCATGATCTAGGTGTGTACAAACGAGGTGTAACGCTTGGTATCGTCATTGGCTGGGGTAATCTCAACGGAATCGTATCCTCCAACATCTACCGAGGCAAGGACGCGCCCAACTTCTATCCCGGCCATGGTACCGTGCTGGCGTATCTAGTCCTGTTCCAGTTTGGTGGTTCCCTGGTGCAGTATCTGCTCCTCAGACTCGAGAACCGTAAGCGTCTGCGAGGAGATCGGGATCATTGGGTTCAGGGACTAGACCGCAGTCAGATCGAGCTTCTTGGAGATAAGAGGCCAGATTTCATTTACACGCTGTGAGCGCGATATGATTGCTGATGATCGATAAATACCAATGAGATATACAACTTCCTTGGTTGAGGCTGTACAAATGGTACCTGGTAGTTGAGGTAAAACGTCGCATGTGCCAACTATCCATCCTTGCATCTTCCCGGGCATCTCCGGGGGAACCGTATCTTGGAAATCGTCATGGGAGCTAGTGGTAACTGGCTCCGGCTTGATGTAGAAGGAACACATGTTTGTGTCTGCACGTAGCATATATCGTTTCGTATCCGAATCGTCTCGTGTAATTCTCGTCATTGGTGCCCTCACCCTTCCATCCGATACAAATTCACGATATCCTGATTCTTCTTCGGCCCCTTGACAACATGGCGACTCGACCAGCTCACAACTTCCCCAGACTCAGGCCGTACCCGAAACGCATACGCAGTCCGATACATATCATTGATGCACAGATGGTTGCCCCTCGCCATGATCACCGCCGTATCCTCCTCCGGTCCGGGGACGGGCGGCGGCACCGGCGGCGTGACAAACGTCGACTCCTTCGTGTCCACCATCTCCGCTCCGTCAGGCCCCTGCCCTTCAAAATCAAAGTTGTGAAACAGGTAATCCGCCTCGTCCTCCTCTTCCTTGGCCTCCAGCTGTTTGGCAGTCGGCTTCACCTTCACAAACCAAACGCTTATCCCCCCGTTCACCCCATGCCGCCAGATGTACTTCTTCGTCCAGCGTAGTCCCGGCCCGAATGTGTTCGGTAACTCGCCTTCCTCGCGGTAGACTACATCGCGGCGGTCGGAGGCGGCGGAGCCGTGTCGCAGAGGGCGGAACGATGCCGTACCGCGGAGCTCGCCGTTGATGTCGAGGGGGTTGTCGCTTTGGAGGGTGCGGAGGAGGGACCAGCGGCGGGAAGGTTGGCTGAGGGAGGTGAAGATGCCGTTCAATAGATTGGGGGAGAGATTCGAAGCGCGCGTTGGAGGCATGGTATCTGCGGGGTTAGTTAGGGGACAGGACGGTGTCGAATCAGTCATGTTGGGTGTTCCATTAGTTGTGTGGATGTAGGCAATTAGGTATTTTGAGATGAAGAGGTGCGGTGATGATTTCTGGCAGGCTAGGAGTAGACGGGGCGGGCCGCGGCAAACCAACCCACTACAATCCACACTCTACCTCTCGTACACTCTACAGATTTTAGCACAACGGAAACAGCTGCAGAGATATAGATTCATCGCCATCAAACCAATCTTTAATTTTATACTATCATCCCATTTTCTCTACAGCAGGCTTCCCCATCAAATGTCTCTGGCCCACAATAACTCCCCGGTACCGCATTTTGCCCTGCTCCAGGATCTGGAATGCAGCTTGGATTCCATCCTTTGTCATCGGCCATGTCATGATGATGGGCCGGATTCTGTGCAGTGACACGAATCGCAGCATCTTGCGGACAGCCACACGCGATGCTACTGCTGAGCCCTGAATCCGAATGCCGTTCGAGATAAGCGGCAAGACTGGCAGCGGGGGTTGTTGCGTGCTCACTGTCAGCAGATAGATCGTACTGTCGGGAGACATAATCGGAAGGATTCTGGAACAGAGGTAAGCTACAGTCTCTCGAAGTCAAGGATAGAGGCACCAACTTGGTAAAATCCGGCGGCTCATTTCCACACCAGAGAAGATGCTTTACCGGCCGCACAGCATCTCGCACAGCACCGTTCTCAAGTGTATGGAACTCGTTCGCTCCCAGGCCCTTCGCCTCGTCCTTCTTTGCGGCGGAGCTCGAGAACACAACCACGTCACATCCTAGCTTTGACGCAAATTGAATCGCCATATGCCCTAGTCCGCCGATCCCCTGGACCCCGACTCGGTCTCCAGGCTTGATATCGTAGCACGTCAAAGCACACCAGACAGTCGCTCCGCCGCACATCAGCGGAGCAGCATACTCAGGCTCCAGGTCATCGGGAAGTTTGATCAGCATGCTCTCGTGCCAGACGGCGTGGGTAGCGAATGCACCGATCTCGGTGTTCTCCTTGCCATACTGCTCGCGCTGCTGGCAATATTGATCGTGACCTGGCATTATATAATTACCATCAATCGAAAGGGATTAAATCAAGTAAAAGTACATACCGCTAACGCAGAAGTCGCAATGTCCACACACCTTGCGCACCCAGCCGAAGCCAACCTTGTCGCCGACCTTGAAGTTGGTTACTGCGCTTCCAACGTCCCGGACGGTGCCTGCGCCCTCGTGGCCAAGGGCAATGCCCTTGTTCTTGAATAGCCGGTCCGTTCCGCAGAGGCCCGCGTGCGAGATCTCGACGAAGACTTCCGAGGGCTGGATGGTGCGTCTGATCGTGTCGGGGTTGACGTCCCCGCTCTCGGAGCCTTTGAAGACATTGAATTCGATCGTTTTGGACATCGCGGCTTTACACTGATGAATTAGATTCTGGAGTTTGCTGTCGGAGGATACGTGTATATTGTTTCTTCTCTCGACAGGCAGTCGTAAGGCTTGTATATCGCGGGCAACGTCTGAGTGAAGTCATTATCACGCTTTGAGGACCAATGGCGCCCATGGTACCAGTGGCAGCTCGCTACTACTGAACAATGGCCTTATTGGCGGACATATTGTCCGGCTTGATGGCTGCAATGATGCTTTTCATTCACGATGGACCAATTCGTCACTCGTTAGGTGGCAACGAGTTGACTAGGAACTTTAGACATATTCTTTAACTCCTGACCTTCAAAGGTCAGAGTGGATTTGAGGCATTCTTTCATCCTCAAAACATGCCGGGTAGCACAAAGGGGACACAATTCGCGTTTATCACACTATGAACTGCCGAAGGAACTCTTTTGTCTTCAATCTATATTATTGGCATTCACAGATCGGTGCTGCAGGCAATCGCCTCCATCTCATCCAGATTCTTTCTCACTTCCTCCAGCTTGGCCTTGGCCCGTGTGATGCAGTCCCGTCCCAACGGCAAGCGGAGACAACCGGTCTTGCCAGCACCTATACCGGTCCCTTGCACCACATCGATGATTCGCTCAACTGCCTTGACCGGATCGCCTGCCTGTTTCCCGTTGTAGCTCTGGAAGACTTGTAGTGCTTGATCGATAGTCGTGCCTTCGTACGCCGGGTTCAGTCCCGCGGCTGGGGTGGCATAGGCCGATAAGAAGTTCGTCCGAAAGGCGCCAGGCTCCACGATGAGAACTCGGATATTGAACGGGGCGACTTCTTTCGAAAGGGACTCTGAGAAACCTGGTGTTTGTCAGTCGGGCAATCCTTTCGGTCTTTCTTCTGAACGTACCCTCTAGAGCGAACTTGCTGGCCGCGTAGAGTGAGGACGACGGCTGAGCCTGTAACCCTGCGATACTGCTTATGTTCACAATTGTACCGGACCTTTGGGCACGCATGAACGGAAGAGCGGCTTTGATGACTCGCATAGGTCCGTAGACGTTGGTGTTGATCTGTTGGTGGATCTCCTCCTCGCTGCGATCGTCAGATGAGGCTGATGCACTCGACGAGTCATAACAAGGCATACCTCATATCCTCCACACTCCCGAGCAAAGCATAGCCTGCGTTGTTGACGACAACGTCAATCCGTCCTTGCTTCCGGATGGCCTCCTCGACTGTTTCCTTTGCGTCTGGTCGGGTCACATCGAGCTGCAACCAGGTTCCACCTAACGACTCGATCTGGGGATAAGTCTGCGCTGCCTTGACAGGGTTTCGAGCGGTCGCGACGACTCGATGACCGGCTTTTAGCACGGCTTCTGCGAGGATGGCCCCGAAGCCGGACGAGGCGCCGGTGATGAGCCAGGTTTGAGGTGCTGCCATTGTACTGGTGTTTCTGACTTTTACTATTGCGATCGATCTCTCGGATTATCTTTCTTATTGAAGTCACGGCTTATTTAGGATATATATACCCTGTACCCGAGACCAGATGTTGCGACTGATGACTCAAATCGGTCCGCGTTGACGGGGCTAAGTTGGCGCAAAATCCGTCAACTCCGACGTTGATCATCATCATGTTGCAGGAAATATACTGAAAAACAGATGTTAGAATTAACGCCGACCGCGTCTCCGTCGTCCGGTGCCCATATCAATGAAGAGGGTAGGACACGGCAATATTCCAAGCTCTCAAATATAGTCCAGTAAAAAGTATCTCAAGCAATCCGAGGACGGAAAAAGCATAGCGAAACTCGCATCAAACGTTCGTAGCATGGTGAACAACCATCTCCACCGAAGCGACGTCGGTCGCAATCATGGCATCACATCAAGATCGTCACGAAAGAAACGACACTATTCTGATGTCAAAATAAGAATTAACCTTTGAGAGGTCGAGGATTCGATCGAGCTTCTTCAAGATCGATCCTCAGGCTGACATTCTTCCCCCTGGCGAAGTCGACCTGTGTCCAGCGTACAAATCGAAGCTCTCACGGTTCTGGACCACTTCAGCGGTCGATCCATTCCGCGCATCATTTCCTGTTCTAGCAATGCCATGTTCTGTCAGCGACCACGAGAAGTGAGTTTCTATCCGGATATGAAGTCACAGTGACTTTATTCCGTGATAGCTCAGAAGCTCAATCTCTATCTAGCTCCATGGTTGGAGTTTGAGTCTTATCGAACAGATCACGCCAAGAATAACAGCAAGACAATAGCGGGAACACTAGTAGTACAAAACGTTGCATTCGCTTCTTTTAGCCTACGCTGAATGGGGTACAGAAGTACTGGACACGCAGGTAGACACAACCTCCAACTCATATTGTATTACTATAAGCCAAGTTTCGATGTTCCTTTATCTAATCGACAGACAGCTCGTGTAGACACTGAGATGACATTGTGCCGCAACCGGACAAGGCCATTTTGAATCTCCCATGCTACTGTAAAGTGTCAAGTGTCCAGTGCAACCTTGAGGTAACAGAAAAGTAGGTAACTTCTTGAGTGCCTCAATACTGCCTGAGTGCCTGAGTGCCTGACCTTGGGGAAATTGGATCCATTGGAGACGCAATTTAGATCCAAGGACGCATTGGCTGCTGTCAACCAGGATTTAAACATGCAATCGAATCAGCTGCATTGAATCATCCGCTAGTCATGTGTCTAGTCTTCAGTATTCGCTCCGGCCGCTTGCGGAGCTGCTTTTTCCTCCCGCCTATTTGCCTATTATTGATTCCACCATTTACCCACGCGGTCTTTTTAATTTAACTCCGTACTCCAGTGTCTCCATCATCAAGTGTCTGTGCCTGGATTTCACTCATAATAATAATTTTTAACGAGTCAGACGAAATACTCTGCCGCTGAGTCCTGGACCCTGTTCCGAATTTTGTTTCTTCCTTGTCTTGTCTTGTGCTGTCTGTCTTTCTGCTCCTCTTCTCTCTCATTTCCTTTCCTTGCCCAATCCGTCTCCCTCGTTGATCATCCGTTATCTCATCTGATCGAAGCATTCTTTCGATCTCATCTATCGACCATTGCTTGTCATTCCTTTGATCCTCTTCCTCTTTTTACATTAAACTATCCTGTTCCTCCGTCCCCTTTCATCCTCTTTCTTCGCCTTTTCGTATGATGGTGGGCCATCTATTCCTGTGAGCTTCCCACCCGACGGCCTCCACCGGAGTCTCAACCTGCGTCGTCATGGCATATGGGCTGTTGGCCTGGACCGCCAACAATGCTGTTCTCAAGCCGACCTGTCGACTATTCCATCTGTTGATAATCGCCTTCCTCCTCACGACCACTGTTCTCGCGACCACCGACACCATCTTACCTTCCGCCGCTTCCGCTTCGTTCCCAGCATGCGGTCTGTCATGCTCGTTGCTCCAGCAGGCAGCGGACAGCTGCCTGGCTAGTCCAGAAGACACACACGCAGTCCATGTCTCTTGCTTCTGCCAGTCGTCTCTGATATCTCAACTCAAAACCTCTCCTGAGGGGACCTGCGACTCGTCCTGCACCAGCGAACCCGATAGACAGTTGTTGCAGACATGGTACACCAATTATTGCAATTCTGGAGGCAACTCTGGAGGCAATTCTGGAGGGGCCACGACCACAGTCACATCAGCTGCTACGGCAACCACATCTCCCTCAAGCTCAAACGTACAGGCCGAGGAGTCCAAACCCAAGACCTGGTAAGCATACCGCGGCATTGCGCCCCGACTACTTCCATATCCCGCTACTGACAACATTCTTGCAGGTGGGACGGGCACTACAAATGGATCATCATGGTTATTGTCCTCATCATCGCATTCAGTATCATTGCCGCAGTAGCCACATGGCTCAAGAAACGCCACGATGCCAAATATCCCAATCTCTATCATGGCGTCGGCGGCAGCGGCAGTGGAACAGAGAGCGGATTGTTCGCCGGCCGCGCGCGTGACCACAGCCCAGGGCCCGGTCAACCTGGTCAATTCTCGTCGAACATGGGCGGTCTTGCACCTCCGCCCCGGTCAAGTTACCCGCGCTCCGATTCAATCGCCAGTAGTTCGCGTACAGACGTCGTACCCTCCAAAGCGCGGTCTGGCCACCCTTCGTCGCGTTTGGCAAAGGCCCCCCAGTCGGCGGACGACATCGAGATTCGGGAGGTTACTCGATGATTCGCGGCCAGCTGTTTGTCATTTTGTTGGTGATATTGACAAATTCCTTGGTCGAATGATGCGGAGGTTCAGCAGCCATCGCACCGCGGTTGCAAACTCATTCCTTGGATTTTGTTCGGTGTTTTGGTACTCGGTGGTATGACCAACACCTCAGGTTTGCATATATCCGGCGTTTACGTGTCCATCTTTTGAATCTTCTTGAAAATGTTTTGTTTCCCCTCGCTGTCGAATCAGTGCGCATTTTTTATAGTGTGGTACGATGTTTGTCCATACGTTGTCCGGCCTTCTTGGCTCCCTTTCTCTGTTCTATCTTTTGCGGGATATAGTACCTTTGATTCCCCTCACGTGGCGTTCTCTGAGCTTTGGGATCTCTTTGGCTTGCAATGTCTAGCTAGATCTTTCCTTGGCTCTGTCCTGTTAAATGCAACAGGATACAGAGGCGCCCTCCGGTCCTGCTCGAAGGCCGAGCGGGCTTTTCACAATGGCTCTCTAAGCTAATCTTGCTGTTTCAAAACCTGGAAGAAAAATAATTCTTGGCTCTTGCTAGATACGCACGGGGTAATTTACATGCAAATAGATGGCTTCAGAGTAAACGGCAGTCGTCATGAGGCGTTCAGAAAAGAAATCCTTGGCCGCACTCGCTCAAGTCACAGTAATGCTCACGATCTTGATGTCCTGCTCCGGCTTCTCCTTGTATGTTTTGGTGTTTTCGATCTTGTGTATGACGTCCAACCCTTGCACCGCCCGTCCAAAAATAGTATGTTTACCATCCAGCCAAGGTGTCTTCTCCGTCGTGATGAAGAATTGACTGCCGTTGGTGTTGGGCCCCGCGTTCGCCATGGACAGTGTATACGGTTTGTCGTGCTTCAGACTCGAGAATTCGTCCTCGAACTCCCCGCCCCAGATCGACTCGCCGCCCGTCCCGTCACCTAGCGGATCACCGCCCTGGATCATGAATTTGCGGATCACCCGGTGGAAGATAGTATTGTTATAGTACCCGTTGCGCGCATGGGTGACGAAATTCTCAACCGCCTTGGGCGCCGCCTGCGGGAACAGCCGCAAGTGGATGTCCCCCATTGTGGTGTGGAGGATGGCCGAGGTGCCCGTCTCGGCGGCCTTTTTGGCGGTTGCCTCGCGGGCGTCGGCCTGCGTGGGCCGTTCGTTCTGCACGTCCCGGCTGGATTTGGAGATCTCGGTTTCGTTGGTGAAGAGGTAGAAGCGGATCTTTGCGAAGCCCGTCGACACGAGGATCGGGTCTCGTTCTTCGGATTCCTGGAGGAGAGGGTTGGCGCTTGCGGCCATGGAGACCGTCATGATGCCTTTCTTTTGTGGTTGGCCTTGATACATGGCTAGGTTGAGGGGACGGAAGGGTTCGTCCTTTGCGTAGACGCGGACGACGCGGTTGGTGTAGGTGTTGATGCACTTGGCACCGTACAGGGAGCCGTAGATTATAAAGTGGCCTGATTCGTCGAAGATAACGTTGATTTTAGGTTGGGTGATGGGATTTTCGAGTTCGCGTTCAATGGCAAGGCGGCGGCCGAATTCCACCTCATCGAGTGGGTTCAGGGCTGTGCCGGCTTGCTGCATTTCTGTGATGGTGGTGAGAGATTCGTCGTATTTCCGGTAGAGCTTGCCCGTCGCGAAGTCGAAGACTCTGACCTGCCGGTCGGGAAATGAGACGGTTGCAAATTGCTCGCCCGATGGTGATACTGTGATGGACGCGGGTACGGATTTGGATTTCTTGAACTCGAACAGGTTCGTGGAGGATTTGAGCTCGAATACATTATCCGGCTTCTCATACGAGTCGTCGCTCGCGCGCCAGTACTCGACCATTCCGGACTGATCGGCTGAAATGACACAGTCGTATGCGTTGTTGAAGGCGATGGCTGCCACGGGGCTACGGTGGATTGATTTGACGGTGTTTAAGGGAGCGGTGTTCTCTCCACGACCATCAAAGACGTGTATCATCGGACTATCCTCGTCCGTCACAGCTAGCAATGGGAGGGATGCGCCGCGAGGGTGTACCCAGCAGACACAGCGCGGTGTGAAGTCCAAGGAGAGCATGGCCAGTAAATCTGGACAAGCGATTAGTTGACAAACTAGAAATCCCAACAGAGATGAAGCCTACCGAAAGTGATAACGTCAAAGATTTTGATCGTCTTGTCCGCACCAGCCGTCGCAAAACTCCTTCCGTCGGCGCTGACGCTGACGCTCTTGATCTCCGCAGGATGCGCCCGGAATTCCTTGACGAACTCGACTCCGACGGCCATTTTCTTCCAAAACTTCACAATACCGTCCATCGACGACGTGATAAGAAAGTCTGTGTAGGGAGTCATCGTAACGAATGACAGCTGCTCCTTGTGCATAAGCGATTTCGAGTACCGCGGAGACACGGGCAGCGCATTCACGTAGACCTTCTCGAAGGGTAGCTTGCGTCGCTTTTTCTTCGGCGCATCAGCGGAGGGTAGCGCTGGGCCGAAGTCATCGTCTGAGGATGAGCCATTTCCTGAAAGCCTAGATCAGTTTCCTGTTTTCAGTCGGAATCAGACGCTGTTCGGGAAGGGTCCAACGCACCATCCTCTTCATCTTCAATGGCAGCATGAGGACGCTTATTGACAGCAAGCTTCGCTTGTTCGTCAGTATCCGCCATCTTAAAAGATAAATATGAGAGATTTCTTTTGAGAGGGTACAGCGAGGAGCGCGCTTGAATTGATCGAATGGGATTGTCAAGAGGTACTTCTTAGGCGGGCGGTCTGTAGCTACAACTTGAGCTCGGGCCACATCGCGAACTTTTCTGGACGTCCCGCATTATTATTGAATCCTCAACGGTGATTTCGAGCCAGTATCCCCCCTGAGCTGCCTGCTTTCCTCCCGCCGGTAGCCACCTTCTAATTATCTATTATTCATCATGGTTCGTCGTCTCTTATACTAACACTTTAATTTGCAAAATGCTGACCACCTGCAGGCGTCCTTCGCCAATCCCACACAGATCTTTGCCGATGATGTTATCGAAGAAAAGGGCGAGAATGCACGTCTGTCCGCCTTTGTCGGTGCCATCGCTGTTGGTGACTTGGTGAAAAGCACATTAGGTCCTAAGGGAATGGACAAGATCCTTCAGTCAGCGTACGTGGGGGTGGTCTCCTGGCAATGCGGGGTTTGCTGTAAATGAGCTTGCAGAACTGACTCTCGGGGGTAAAATAGGTCAACCGGCGACATCCTCGTAACAAATGACGGTGCTACTATCCTCAAGTCTATTGCCCTCGATAACGCCGCGGCCAAGGTGCTGGTGAACATCTCCAAGGTCCAGGACGATGAAGTTGGTGACGGAACGACATCCGTGACGGTGTTGGCAGCGGAGTTGCTGCGTGAGGCAGAGAAGCTCGTGAACCGCAAGATCCATCCTCAGACCATCATCGAAGGCTACCGGATAGCCAGCAAGGCCGCTCTGGAGGCCCTTGAAAAGACTGCCGTCGACCGAAGCAAGGATATGGAGGCTTTCCGGAAAGATCTTCACGCTATCGCTCGGACAACCCTCAGCTCCAAGGTGCTGGCTCAGGACCGCGAACACTTTGCTACTCTCGCCTGCGATGCAGTTCTCCGGTTGAAGGGCTCGACCGACCTCAGCCACATCCAGATCATCAAAAAGGCCGGCGGCAAGCTCGGCGACTCGTACCTGGACGAAGGCTTCATCCTTGACAAGAAGATCGGCGTGAACCAGCCCAAGCGCTTGGAGAATGCCAAGATCCTGGTTGCCAACACCGCCATGGACACTGACAAGGTCAAGATCTTCGGTGCACGGGTCAAGGTCGAGTCAACGGGCAAACTGGCCGAGCTGGAGAAGGCGGAGCGCGAAAAGATGAGAGCCAAGGTTGAGCGGATCAAATCTCACGGCATCAACTGCTTCGTCAACCGTCAACTCATTTACAACTGGCCCGAGCAGCTGTTCACCGAGGCAGGTATTGTGTCCATCGAGCATGCCGACTTCGACGGCATTGAGCGTCTTGCCCTGGTCACTGGTGGCGAGATTGCTTCGACCTTCGATCACCCCGAACAGGTCAAGCTTGGCCAGTGCGATGTTATTGAGGAAGTTATCATTGGCGAGGATACCCTCATCAAGTTCTCGGGCGTGGCTGCCGGTCAGGCGTGCACCATCGTGTTGCGCGGTGCCACCGAGCAGCTTCTCGATGAGGCAGAGCGATCTCTCCACGATGCTCTGGCTGTTCTCTCTCAGACTGTCAAGGATCCCCGGGTCACACTGGGCGGTGGCTGTGCCGAGATGGTGATGTCCAAGGCCGTCGAACAGGCGGCCCAGAACACCACCGGCAAGAAGCAGCTGGCTGTGGACGCATTCTCCTACGCTCTTCGGCAATTGCCTACTATCCTGGCCGACAATGCCGGTTTGGACTCGAGCGATCTGGTTACAAGACTCCGCCAGGCCATCAACAACGGCATGACCAGCTCTGGTTTGGATTTGCTTACCCCTGGCGGTGGTATTGCTGATATGCGAGAGTTGGGTGTTGTGGAGAGCTACAAGCTGAAGAAGGCGGTTGTATCCTCGGCATCAGAAGCCGCGGAGGTAAGCATGGTCGTTTACTTGATTTTCAGAAACTCTTAGCTAACGATACCCTACAGCTTCTCCTGCGTGTCGACAACATTATCCGGGCTGCTCCTCGCAGACGCGAGCGTATGTGAAGGATGGGAGAAAATAGTCTGTCTTCAGTACAAGATTTATGATACAGCGCGAATGATGATAATAAATTAAATATCTCCGGGCCTGATCAGCAAGTTTGAGTCAGTATTCTCCTCATGTAGACCTTTTGTCTGTCGTCATCCCAAAGAAAGTGCGTAATACTGTGATCATTCGTCTTAAAAGATAATACATATATGGCTCAGGGCGCTGAACATTCTTGGGATCAGCCCGCTGCTTCCCCGCTGCTTTATTTACTCGAAGGAGACAGTGAGTCCGCAGACCTAAGAACGCATACTGTGGCACATTTGAT